ACATGGCTGCGGGGGCCTGGAGTAGCTCTGCCTCTACTCCCGACCGTCACCACCCGATAGCCATTTTTAATGCTGATCCCTTTCAGGTATTTTAATGTTACTGCCGCCTCGTGAGACAGTGGGGGTGTAAAACGTTGCAGAGGGAAATCTGAGAATGAGAAATATGTATTTCTTTAATAATCTCTGACCTGAGCCCAAAAGGACACATAAGCCTGCAGTCCGAGTCCTACTAATAAAGATGGGATCTGTTTTGTCGTCTCTATTCTTTTTCTTCTTCCTTCCTGGCCCAAGATGTATGGGCCCGTCTCTCTCCTTTCTTTCCCAGGATCCCACGCTCGTGCCATGTGTTGTTGCTGATCACAAACATATGGTTTAATTTCTGCAGACGGCGGCCAGACATAACAGCAAACACGGTCAGACAAACGGTGAGATTTTTTTGTCTACATTTTTATCTTTGACATTCCTTTTTTAAGGATGTAACCTAAACTATTATTTTATACCTATTATTTTATTTCATAATAAAGTTACTTTTGTTTGTACTTGTACTCGTAATTTTGTGAACACCTATCATATAGTCAATTCTCTTCTCTCTGCAGATGCTGACCAATCTGTGACAAGTAGTGTTATATGTTGTAAAGATTGGAAAGCCCATTTAGGTAAATTTGTGGTGTTTGATATTGGGCCATATACATGAAACTGCCTTGACTTTTGCTGACTGCCAGAATATAGGGAGGTGATGTATGACTTTTTCTTTTACCTCAAAGGATTAATATGATGGTGGCCCTATTACAGCTTCAAAGATAATCAAATGTCATTCTTTCAGTTAACTTCCACTGCACATTGAAAATATAGTTCCTGTGGAGATCTGTGTACCTTACCTCAGCTAAGTAACAGTAACCGTTCTAACAACTGTGTCCTCTAAATAATACTCCACATAATTAGGGTGTACTCTAGCTCGCCTAAAGGCTTTACTGGAAGCATGGCTTGTATTTACACATCTGACAGTTGAGAGAGAGCAAGACAGATGCAGAGAGACAGAAAAAATGCCAGTGTGTGTGTGAGACAGAGAAAGAGAGAGAGAGAGAGATATGACAGCACACTTGGAGTGATTCTCTGTACACCACGCTTCAGAAGATAGACACGAGTGTAAAGAAGCAGAAATGCAAATGAGCGTGTCCATCCATCTAAGGCTGTACTCAAAGCTTTTACACGTGTGAACTTTAAATACCACCCACCCAGCTCTTTACCATTGCCCGTCTGTCAGTGCTTGTCTTAAGAAAGGGCAGCGGACTGAACTCTTTAGTCATTGATTATGTGATTATACTGGTTTAGTGCGTAACTATGCCATTCTGCAGCAAGTCTCATGAGGAGTTCTTTTCCAGGACTGTGATGGACTGTGTGTGGGTTAGTGTGAGTGGGTGGGTTGTTTTTCATGTTTGTATGTTTGATCAGCTCGTATTTATTACACATATGTAGTAACTCATCATTACTGTGAGACAGGATCGTTGACATTTACCCACTTTCTATATAGAGTATATAGAGACTATAATGCGTTTTATTCTGCAAACACAACAACTTATATTTTCTCCAGGATTATTTTGGAAGGATTTCCATCTTAGAATCTCAACCCCTGAACTGAAAAACACTGCTGTTGTGTGTTGCTCATCGCCTTCCTATTGTGTGGGATCTCCCTGCTGTGCTGATCACAAAGTAAGAGACAAATCATCAGGTGAGTCAGAGGGAGCAGCGTTCCTTCATCAACAGTTCCACTGTGTGCCTAAGAGTTACCACACAGTAAGACCCACATAAGTGTAACACACACACACACACACTCTGCAGGTGTGCCATAAATTAAGTGCATGAGTAACTGTCTAGAAGAAGGGGAGAAAAAAAGCGGTCCAAAGAGACATAAAATGCCAGCACACACTCATAAACAGATGTCTGAAGGTCTCTCTCACACATACACACCTACATTCTTATGCAGCAGTGTGTTATGTTTTTATGTGTGAGTGTGTATAGGTGTGTGTGTGTGTGTGTGTTTATGTATGTACTGTACAGTAAAATGATTTGCAGCATTATATAGGTTTATACAAAGATATTGTGTTCCCAGCCACTGTTGTTAGGAAAGTAAGTATGTATGTGTAAGTATGACACAAAATGTGGTTAATCCATTATTCAGTTTTATTTTAAGACCACCCAGAATTGCATACAGTTTGTGGTATATATTTATCTAGGCCACTATTTACCATGACACGGCACACTGGGGACAAATGCAGTTGATTAAAGAAGATGTTTTTTATTCAGTTCTCCCTCCTCAGTGTTCAGCATTTCGTTTTTTAAAGCCTTACTCACCTGTTCATTGCATGCATGGTAGGCTATTTGTGCACTTTTAAGTAGTCGAGAGCGTGCATGCAGCACATGACTTTGTTCTCAGAAGGCTTGTCTATGCCAGTTACACAGAAATAATTCAAAAAATGGCTTCCCGGTTGCAGTCACTGTGGAATGTGGCAGAAGGCAGTGGCAACTTGACAGTCTGGTTCTGCTTCGGTGTGTGACAAGCCAGACCAAAAGGTCACAGACTTCAAAGCCTGGAAGCAGCTTCAAAACAGAGCTCCGCACCTCTGACAGCTACATAATATTTGTCTAAGTGTGTGTATACCTGAGTTTGTGTGTATGTTTGTGAGTTATGAGAAGGGGAAATTTTGAATTGTGGGTTTTAATGAAAGCCTGCCAAAAAGAACAGTGGCCTTGTCTTGATGGGTCAACAGTGAAAACGCTTTGATAATTATGTGTTACTGTAAGGTAGGTGGTTAGTGAAGCAGTTTTTCCGTCATATGAGCAGTCATTTTGTTGCTGCCCCAATTTTTGTGTGTGCATATTTGATTTTGGAACAAAGTTGAGAGGAAGAAAGAATGAGAACTGTGGAACTTGACATTCAGTGACCTACTGCAGGTTTGGCATGCACTTGCTCTTGGGAGTCAAAGGAATGTGAATCTGTGAATGTGCGTGGGTTTGTGTACGTAAATACTCATAGCTACAGCCAAGGAAGCTATTCTTTACAGACAGATGAAATCAATACACAGACATCAGTACTGACTCGCTTTGTCTCAAAACTCTGCAAAGTCACATTTAACTTGGGTGCTCACTTTATTTTCGAGGACTCTGAGAAATTAATTTGTAAGCCTGACACAAATAAACAGCTCATGCATAAATATGCCCATAACTTTAAGACAAAAGGAGAACAGCTCTATCTTCGTTGCAAGGGGGGATTTCTTTCCTTATCAAAGCAACACAGGGCAAGATTAAAGAGTCAAAATCCTCCCCACGTGTGTGTTGTGTGTGTGTATTCGCTCCTGCATGCCTGCCCCCGGACGTTCTCTCTCCTTCTCCTCCCTCCCGCTCGTCACTCTCCCTGTAGCATTAGGAGCTAGCTGCCAGGCTCTCCTCTTTAGCATCCATCCATCCCTCCATCCTTACCCCTGGAGGAGTCTGCATTAATCAGTCCTTTTCGAAGGAGGTCCTGCTACAGTAGCTGTTGTGTTTCCTCCCATTTGTTACAATGCAGATGTGGCCTACAGTGAAGCCACATCAATCCTTATACAGTGGAATTACACGTCCAATCAATAACATTCAATAACAACAGGCCATTTCCCCATCGGCCTGTCCACTCTTTCATCCCACCCACTGACAATGGCCTCTAGTTTGTGTGCGTACTGCATAGGTTATAGATTACACTGGGAAAATAACCAAAAATACTCAAAGCAAAGCACTTTTTTGGACTATTTTATGGTTGTGGGGAAATTTGAATCAGCACAAACTTAATGTTCTTCTTAAGAAAAAATCAATATGAAACATCAATATATATGTCATTTTTCTGGGCCCAATAGAACAAAATACTGTTATTTATCTGTACGGGAGATTTAGTAGAGAGATGAAATAAACAAAAAGCAGAAAACCTGTATAAAATGACCTCTGCCTAGCACCTTGGCTACAATAGGTAATTCAAATTAAATTTCAAAAAGGGAAATGACAGCTACCTGCAACAATGGTTCAGTTTGAAAAATATTTCTGCTCCACCCTGCAAAGATAATAAGCTCCCGTAGGTACCAAAATGTTTGAAAAGTCAACTTTATATGACATAAGCTTAAAATTGAAGCAGCAACCACTGAAAGTTAATAACATTTTGGGTCGTGTTCTTTATTTTCTTCTAGTGTTGTTTCCCATAGCAACAGGTAAAATGCAAGAAGGTCATTATTTGGATTTTAGATAGTAGTTTTGTTCCGTAGTAGTCAGTGACTATGAAATATGCCCAGTGTAGCATTCAGCATATGTAGCCTGACTAAATATATGTGTAACTAAGTACATTTAGTCTTTTTTAAAGATGAAATGCAGTATTTTAACAGTCATCATTAAGCCGTTTATGGTGCAGCGAAAATATACATACATACATAACAGTGATACTAAGTCTGTCCCTTGACTGAGTGTATTTCTGACAAATTATTAAATCATGAAATTGAAGTGAGTGGCAGACTGGAAAAAAAACTTTAAAAGGGGTTGCAAACATATAATAAATATTTTTTGAAAATCAAAATGTTGATTTACTTCAGCTGTAGGTAGCAGAACCACATACACAAGAGTTTGACTGAATTCCATCTCAGAATTAGCGTTCAGTTTGAACTCAACTCATCAAAATAAACATATAAAATCCTTTATAATATTGCCCTGATATGTAAATTTACAAGCTTTCTAATGCTAGCCTTCTACTCTCTGCTACACTGGGTCCAAATCAAGCTGTCAGTGAGCGTGCCAATGTGTCCAGAGGGCGTCACCACACATACGGTACAGAGCTACGAACAGACACCACTTCATGCAGCGGGTTTACAGTTGCTGCCAAAGGCCAAAGAGGAGAGAAGCAGGGAGGGTACGTGGAGAGAAAAGACGTGCATGAAGAGATGCAAAGAGGAGGTGAGGAAAAGAGAAAGGGAAAAGTGAAAGCGGGAATGGATGCAGAGAAGAGAAGGAGAAAGAGAAAGGATGAGAGAGTAGGTGGAAGATGGCATGAGGGCAGCATGCAGATTGCCCAGGACCTGACTGGCATATTCTTGGATGGCTCACAGACGGAGAAAGAGAGAGAGAAGGGAGGGGTTGGGGAGCTGGGGAAAGTTAGGGCCCTCAGGATGTTCTGTCCCACTGCCAGCCCCAGAAGTGTGGCTGGGAGATAGCAGGCCCACGTGCAGTGGTGCACCAGACACACAAACATACACACACATGCACGGACAGTGACAATGAGGATGGAGCAATACATGGATCAAGATGGATAAGAGAAATTGTTCTGAAAAGATAGGGAATATACTGTAGGTATACAAATACCAACAGATACTGGATCAAGAAATTGAAGGGAGAGTTTTTTCAGTCTGCTTGCATAAAAACTCAGTGTAACATTATTTATGTAAGGTGAGCTGCTTAATTTCCAGCCATTACTCAGAATCTGGTAAACCCAAATTACATCTTTTCACAGAGACCAATATGTAGCTGCATCTTCAGTCAGGTCAGCTGCCTTTGTCTGCTTTACTTTCTCCTTCTGTATCCTCCACTCTCATTGGCAATGTAGAGTGGTGGAGCTTGAGGCCATGTGTGCAGGTTTGGGCCAATTATAGGGATTCTCATCAGTGCTGGGCTGCCTTTTTGCTGCGGGCTCACAGCATACAGACCAGCCGAGGGTCCACAAGGGTCAACCCTGTACCCCTCACATCTCGAAATGAGTGTACCTGGGAGATACAGTACTGCTGCTTTGGCAGATCTGATATATATAAATAAAAAAAGAAAAATAGAAAAAAGAATATTATGCTCTTTGTAAAATATGTTATTACTTTGCAACATAGGAAAAACTGTTTTATTAGAATTCAATTAGTGACTAAGGCTGAAAATAGAATTTCTTTAGCTGATACAGCTAAATACAGTTAATAAAGTTGATTGATATCAATTACAGGCTTTGTGAAACTGGACTGTTGACCTGTTAAACAAAACAAATCTGAAATCTAAAATCTAAAATAACTGAAAAGTGAATACATTTATATTCATGAACACTAACTGGAAACATGGAAAACAGGACCAGAAAAAAAAAGAAACAGGTGGTAGTTTTAAAACTATGAATCTTAACCAGCAAACTCTGTTAAATTTGACAGTTAAGCATTTCCAAGAGGTTTTAAGATGTTCATATATTAAAGTTGTATATACAGTACCTAGATCAGAATAATAATTTGTGAAAAACATCAGCTCCCTCTGTCTCTCCTTGTGCTCCAAATGGCATATCCATGAATCCAACCAAAAAGAAACTTAACAGGTCGTCAAATACCAACGCTGGGAATGAGACTTAACAATCAATTATCTTAAAGCCACCAACCCAAAGTGGTGGGTGTCTTTCTTGGCTCTGATTGGTCATTTTCTTTTGGGTACAGTGGATTCTAGCAAATGCCATTAGAAGCACTATGAAGAACCAGAGGAACCAGATTTATTTTTTAGATTATCTGTTTTATTTACCACTGTCAGGATATAGTGAAAGTTATTTTTATAAAAGTTACCTACTGCAGCTTTAACTGTACGCCCACATCTACAAATGACATACTGTACATAAATAGACCTAAGCCCACAAGCACATCCGGATTTCCA